CCTGACCAAAAGGTAGGTTCCCCCCCCAGACGCACTTGCCCGGAGCGACGGACCCCTGCAGTAGTCTCGGCGACCGATAGGAACAGAATGAAGACCGCCTCGGCCCACAACACCGGACAGACCCCGGGCGCCGCCGGGACGGGTCCCCGGTAGCACCTGGTTCAGCTCGCTCCAACAGAACAAGGATACAAAGAGAAGAAAGACCAAGACCCACTACCAGAAGAAAACATTACCCCTTACATACACTACACACCCAGTTCCCAGGGTTGCAAGGTGATCCCTAGAGGCGTGGGAAGACGGCAGACAAACAACAACAAACAAAACATATCGACCCTTAAAGTTTTGTACAGCTCCCGGGCACATCGGGGCGGACCCAACCCTTCTGCTGAAGTCCAAGATTCCGACCATTTGATAATCACAACACATACAAAAAAAAAAAAGAGCGCACACAAAAATAAGGAGGAAGAAAAGTGACACACTTCAAGAGCCTTTACGGGCCCGAAAACATAAATAAAGACCGGAGAGGTAGTGGGGAGAGACGTTGGGGAGAGAGGAGACACACTCCCCGTGGCGTTTGATGGGGTTGCATGGGTACTACACAAAATTATCCCTTTCCTCAAATAATGTAAAAAAAACGGTACCTTTAGTCCCTTATGGACCCCTTTTCCGAATGGCCACCGTCAAAGCAGTAATTTTTTAACCTTATTTATTTTTCCAAAAAAACTTTTTTTCGCTTTCCTTGTATTAAACTGCAATTTTGGTGGGTTTATTCAATTTTATTTCCTTTAACACTGTAGTCCTTTATTGTTTATTTACTTATATAAAATAAAAAAATTAGATAAGAGACAAATACATAATTTTTAAGCACCTGGTAACATGAAAATATACCAGTAACGCGTTGGGGTTCCCATTGGTTTCATGGTAAATAAAAACGTTTTCACGGTTTCTCATCTAATGGGTCGTAGCCAAAGAAGGGGTGTTATAATTCAATGTCAATAGTTCCATCATTCCCCTTTCCTATGTCAGTCACAATATTTTATATTTCTAGTACATACATAAATATACATAGGAATAAGAAAATAAGAATAAGATATGTTAAACAGAAAAATCCCCGTAACACATTCACTTATCCAAACACCTGTTTTATAATTTGGGGGTGTCTACATTTTTACCGT